TTCCTCCTCCTCCTCCTCCTCCTTCTCCTCCTCCTCCTCCTCCTCCTCCTCCTCCTCCTCCTCTCCCCTGGGAGGCGAGAGAGCGAAGCTGTCCGCTTTCCTCCTCATTCCTCCTCATCCTCATAACTTCGCGCGAGAGCGCGAAGTTATCTTCGCACTGCGCGCTGCGCGCAGCGCGAGAGCGCGACGTTGGGAGCCCCTCGCTCTCGCACGCGCGGGCGCAGCGCGTCTCCTGGCTGGCTCCCGGGCCGTGGGCGGCGACGGGGCTCCCCGAGGGCAGCAATCCGGAGGGCAGCCATCGGGAGGGCAGCAGTCCCGTCAGGCAGTCAGGAGGGCAGCAGTCAGGAGGGCAGCAGTCAGGAGGGCAGCAGTCAGGAGGGCAGCAGTCAGGAGGGCAACAATCAGGAGGGCAACAATCGGGAGGGCAACAATCGGGAGGGCAACAATCAGGAGGGCCACAATCAGGAGGGCCACAATCAAACGGGGTTCCGGAGGGCAACAGTCAGGAGGGCAGCAGTCCCTTCAAGCAAGGGCGACGCGGTCCGCCTGCGCTTCCTCGGCGCATCGCGCCGCCGCCGAAGACGCAGGTGGTGCGAGCGGCTCGTGGGGAGCGGCGGCCCTCGGCGATGGTGGGGCCGACCTGCCCGCGAGCGTCGCGGACGCCGTTAGCTTCGTGGACTCGGCCGCGGGCGGCGCGGAAGAAGAAGAAGAAGAAGAAGAAGAAGAAGAAGAAGAAGAAGAGGAATAAGAAGAAAAAAGATAATACGAATAAGGATAATAATAAGGATAATCATAATAAGGATAATAATACTCCTGATTATTAGATTCATAATACTAGCAATACGAATACTATTCTCATAATACTGATACGAGTACAACGAATAATAAGAAGAAGAAGCGCAGCGGCAGGAGCGCCTCAGGCGCTGCGATGCCGCGGCCCCGACGGCGGGCGCGCGGGCGGAGGTCGTCGAGCCCTTCTTCCCCGTCTCCCCCCCTGGCCGGTGCACCGCGGCGCGGCGCGCGGCGCGGGAGAGCAGATTGACCCCTCCCTCCCTCCCTCCCTGCCTCCCTCCCTCCCTCCCTCCCTCCCTCCCCCTCCTCCTCCTGCTCCTCCTCCACCTCCTCCACCTCCTCCTCCTGCTCCTCCTGCTCCTGCTGCTCCTCCTCCTCCATGGCCGCGACGGGGGGGTCGTCTGGGACAGGCCCAGTGCACGCATCAAGGGCGGGGTCGGTGGTGGAGATGCAGGACTGGCGGTGCTTCCGGAAGCCTGCCGAGGGCGAAGCCTGATGCTCGGGTGCAGGCGGACCGTGGCTCCACTGCTGAGGAGCGATCGTGGGGGCACTCGGCGGCGTAGCCTGAGCCTGAGGAGGATCTCATGGGTGCCTGCAGCGCTGCTTGTGAGAGAGCGGGGATGCACTCATCGACGGCAGTGCGTTTCGCTGGCTGGGGCGTGGGCCGAAGTGCCCCGGGTCCGCGCGCGGGCGTCCAGAGGGCCGGCGCTGCCGTGGTTTGCGCCCCACCTCCGCGGGTGCGAGCTTCGGTGCTCGCGTCGCGCCGGGGCCTTCGGGGGGGCCCCTGGGCTCCTGGGTTCCGGGGGCCGTGGCAGGCCCCGGTGGCCGCGTCCTGGGCCCTTCGCGGGGGGGGGGCTTGTATGATGGGCCTGCTTTCCGCCACCACCACAAGTTGGAGGGGGGAAGGAGGAGGAGGAGGACGAGGAGGAGGAGGAGGACGAGGAGGAGGAGGAGAACGAGGAGGAGGAGGAGGACCCCCTCCCCCTCCAACTTATGGTGGTGGTGGTGGTGGACAACAGGCCCATCACTGTAGAGGCGATCTGGCGCCCATCGGGTTGGGTACTGAATGTTTCTTTCGCGCCACGATTGGTAGCGTAGTCTCGGCTTGCTGCTGGACGTGGCCCGCAGGGTGTCCGACGCGCACGCACACACGCACACACTACACAACTACACGACTACACACTACACACGACACGCCACACACGCACTTTTTTGGCCTCGCGGCCCAGCGCGCAGCGATTGCGCAGCAGCGCGCACACACACACACACTTACACACACTTACGTACACACACTTACACACACCCTCACACAAACTTACACACACTTACACACACACACGTACGCACGCACGCGCGCGCAGGCACACGCGCAGGCACACGCGCGGGCACACGCGTAGGCACACGCGCAGGCACATGCGCAGGCACATGCGCAGGCACACGCACACGCACACGCACACGCACACGCACCCGCACATGCGCAGGCACATGCGCAGGCACACGCACACGCACACGCACACGCACACGCACCCGCACACTAACACACGCACACGCACGTACACACACACCAACACACCAACACACCAACACACCAACACACCAACACACTCACACACACTAACACACCAACACACCAACACACCAACACACCAACACACCAACACACAACACACCAACACACCAACACACCAACACACCAGCACACCAACACACCAACACACCAACACACCAACACACCATTAGACCAACACACCAACACACCAACACACCAACACACCAACACACCAACACACCAACACACCACCACACCAACACACCAACACACCAACACACCAACACACCAACACACCAACACACCAACACACTCACACACACCAACACACCAACACACACACACCAACACACCAACACACCAACACACCAACACACCAACAGACCAACAGACCAACACACCAGCACACCAGCACACCAACACACCAACATTCCAACACTCCAACACACCAACACACCAACACACCAACACACTGAAACACCAACGCACCAACACACCAACACACCAACACACCAACACACCAACGCACCAACACACCAGTACGCCAAGACGCCGACACACCAACACGCCAACACACCAACACACCAACACACCAACACACCAACACACCAACACCCCAGCACACCAACACACCAACACAACAGCACACCAGCACACCAACATACCACACCAACACACCAGCACACCAGCACACCAGCACACCAACACACGAACACACCAACACACCAACACACCAGCACACCAACACGCACAACTCACAACACACACAACACACAACACACAACACACACAACATACACACAACACAGACCACACAGCACACAACACACACATCACACAACACACAGCGCACAACACACAACACACAACACACACAACACGCACAACACACAACACACACACCACAACAACACACAACATACACAACACACAACACACAACACACATACCACACAGCACACACAACACACACAACACACAACACACACAACAGACACCACACAGCACGCACAACACACATAACACACAGCACACCAGCACACACACCACACAACACACAACACGCACAACACGACACACAACACACAACACACAGCACACAACACACAACATACACACACTACACACAACACACACCACACCACACACAACACACAACATACACACAACACACACAGCACACACAGCACACAACACAACACACGACACACACAACACACAACACACACAACACACACCACACAACACACAACACACACCACACGCAACACACAACACACACACAACACACAAAGCATAACACACACAGCACACACACAACACGCACAACACACAGCAGGCAAGACACACACACGACACACAACACACACAACACACAGCACACACAACACGCGCAACACACACAACACACACCACACAACACACACAACACACAACAGACAATACACACAACACAACACACACAACACACAACACACCCCACACACACCACACACACCACACACACCATGCACACAACACACACCACCACACCAACACACACAGCACACCAACACACCAACACACCAACACACCAACACACCAACACACCAACACACCAGCACGCCAACTCGCCAACACACCATCACGCCAACACACCAACACACCAACACAACAACACACCAACACCCCAGCACACCAACACACCAACACACCAGCACACCAGCACACCAACATACCACACCAACACACCAGCACACCAGCACACCAGCACACCAACACACCAACACACCAACACACCAACACACCAGCACACCAACACACCAACACACAACACACAACACACAACCTACACACAACACACACACAGCACACACAACACACAACACACAACACACGACACACACAACACACAACACACAACACACAATACACAACGCACAACACAAAACACACACACACAACACACAACACACACAACACACACAAAGCATATCACACAGCACACACAACACACACAGAACACACAGAAAGCATAACACACAGCACACACAACACACACAACACACACAACACACAACACACACAACAGACACCACACAGCACGCACAACACACATAACACACAGCACACCAGCACACACAACACACAACACACAACACGCACAACACGACACACAACACACAACACACAGCACACAACACACAACATACACACACTACACACAACACACACCACACCACACACAACACACAACATACACACAACACACAGCAGACAACATACACACGACACACAACACACACAGCACTCACGACACACACACACACAACACGCGCAACACACACTTCATACACAACACAACACACACAACACACAACACACAATACACACAACACATCACACAGAACACACGCACAACACACACCACACGCCACACACACCACACACACCACACACAACACACACAGCACACAACACACAACACACACACACCTCACACACCACACACACCACACACACACACCACACATACCACACACACACCACACACACATCCTGCGCACGTTCTGGCATGACCCTGGGCACCTACGTGCCTTTTGTATGTGTGTAAATCGGAACGCCTTCGTTGAGAGCCCCCCGCCTCCCCCGCTTTCACGCGCGCCCCCGCCACCCCGAGGTTGCGCCGGCGCGGTGCCAGCCCCCCGACCACCGCACGGCCCAGCCCGGCCCGCCTGCACTGAGGCCGAGGATTGGCGCACGGTGACGTGCTCGTGGTCGGCGTCGTAGTCGTCGTCGTCGCGGTCGTCGTCGTCGTGTCCGCCGTCGTGGTCGTCGTTGTCATCGTCGCGGTCTTCGTCGTCGTCATCGTGGTTGTCGTGGTCACGGTCGTGTTCGTCGTCGTCGTCGTCTCGGTCGTCGCGATCGTTTCGGTCGCCGTCGTCGTCGTCGCCGTCGTCGTCGTCGTGGTCGCCGCCGCCGTCGTCGTGGTCGTGGTCGTGATCGTCGTCGCAGTCGTGGTGGTGGTGGTGGTCGTCGTCGTCGTGATCACGTTCGTCACGGCGGTTCGGGTCGGACGACATGGGAGGATGGGGAAGTTGGTGCGGCTGGTTTCCGCCCCGCCGTGGTGCGCTCTTTTTTGATGTATACATGGGCGCCTCCAACGCTGGGAGGCGCTGGGAAGAGCAGCAGCGTCAGCTGATCCCCCCCCCCTTACTACCTCCCCTTTCGTCCGACCCTCTCGTGGTCGTCGTCGCCGCCACAGCTGTCGTCTTCGCGGCCTCGTCCACGTCATCGTCCCCTCCTCCTCCTCCTCCTCCTTCTCCTCCTCTTTTGCCGTCCTCATCCACGTTCTTGTTCGCGTCGTTTACCCTGGCGTGGTCGCCCTTGTCTCCGTCACCGTCGTGGCGGCGGTGGTGGTTGCCGTCGTCGTCGGTGGCTCCGCTCCATGCCGCGCCCTCCTGGCATAGTGGCCAGCTTACAGCGCCGTTCTCAATACATGCTCCGCGTGCGGATAATGTATTAAACATGCAGGGATGCAGCATTAAAAACCACGATGAGTTCATGCATACATTTATTCATAAATTAATACTGTATGAAAAATCTTATCTCTTGAAGAATCCTATGTATTAGAAACTGCCCTGTACTCTCTCAGGCCGCACGTGAAGTGAGCAGGAGCAGACGTGAGCCGAGCCAGCTCCCGCGGCCGCCGAGGCGCAGCCCCGCCGGGCTGCCTCGGCCGTGGCCCCGCCCGCCGCCCCGCCGCCCTGCACGGCTCCGCGGCGCGGGCCGCCGCCGGCGCCTGCCCCGGAGACCCTCGGCCGCGGGCCCCGCCGACCGGGGGCACCGACGGGGCCGCCTCCGCACGAGCAGCGCTTGTGATTCGCGTGGGCTCCTCTTGGCGTGAGACTGTGCGCGCACCACCGAATCTCAGCATCACCGTGTCCGCAGCCTCTGCAGCAGCTCCTCCAGGCGAGCCTGCGGTCTTGCGCAAAGGTGGGGTGATGGCAAGGGCGTGGGCAAGACCAGTGTCCATAGGCCCGAAGGAGCCCAGCTCCTCCGCCCCCTGTTCTCCATCTTGGCATTAAGTCGGGCCTGTCCCCCATACAGGGGGATTTTCAATGAAACATAGAACATACCCCAAGAATAGTCCAAGTGAAACATAAAAGCTTCGACGAACAAAAACAGTCCAGGGACTATTCTTTGAGTATGTGTTGACCTCCTTGGGGTATTTTTTGGATACTTTTTATTTATCGTCGAAGATCCCCCTGTAGGGGGACACGACCGACATAATTTTAGCAGGTGGGCGTCTGGTCCTCGCTGAGAGGTCTTTGATGGGAGCGCGGAGCTCAAAAAAAAAATCCAGCTCCTCCAGCCGCCTCCTCTGCAGCATGCGCGGTCCGACGCCCGCGCTGCAGTGGCCGCAGTGGCTGCCTCGTTCAGCGGCGATGGCGTGGCCGCAGTGACCGTTCCCTTCCCGTGCGCTTCATGATGGACGCTTGGTGGCTTCGCGATGCTACTGCCTGCTGGCCCAGCGCCGCCACGGCCGCTGCAGGAGTTCCTCTGGCAGTGTAGCGGTAGCGACGGATGGCATCAGCCTCGTTGGCAGCACGACGACCTCTTCTGGCTGCCAGATGCGCGGGCAACACACACACACACAGCTTTACATCGACCCAGCAGTCGTTTACCAAAGCGGTGGCGCACCATGCCTGCAGCAGAGCCGTGGCCGCAGCGGCGGCGCATCCATTGCCACCGCCACAGATGCAGCATCAACAGCAGAACCAGCAACAGGCGGAGCCTCAACAACAGCAGAACCACCCGATGAGAGACTGCTGGAGCAGATGCTGGACAGTCTACAGCAGGCCAGCGAGCAGAGGGGGAGGAGGAGGAGGAGGAGGAGGAGGAGGAGGAGGAGGAGGAGGAGGAGGAGGAGGAGGAGGAGAAGCAGCTGGCGCACGAATTGGAAACTCAAGTCGTGGCGCCTCTAGAGAGCAGCTGTCCACGGACGACTGGGGAGTGGCAGAGCCACGGCGGGTTGAACACGCACGGGTGGAGGTGCGAGGGGGGGGATATCGGCCGCAGGGGCGGCCTCTTCTGCGCGAGGCCCGCGCGGAACGCAAAAGCTCGCGGGCTCGAGTCGCCCGTTGGTTTCCTCTCCGGCTGCTTCCCCTCGCTCGCTGATGATCCCTCTCTCCTCCTCTTGCCCCTCCTCCCCCTCTCATATCTCTCTCTCTTTCTCTCTCTCTTGTTCTGCATGTCTGCGTGTGTGTGTGTGTGTGCGTGTATGTGTGTCTCTCTCTCTCTCTCTTTCTCTTTGTAAGGCTGTCTGTCAGACTGACAAGTCTGCCTGCCTCTTGTTTTTGTTGTCTGTTTTTGTTTGTTGTTTCTCCCTCTGTCTCTCTCCCTCCCCCTCTCTCCTCTCCCTCTCTCTCTCTCTCTCTCCCTTTCTGTCTCTCTCTCTCTCTCTCTCCCTTTTTTCCCAACCATCCTGTGATGTTGGGTCCTGGTTTTGAGGAGACAGCGCTCCGCGTCACTCCAACCGCTGCCCCTTCCCTCCTCCCTTCATCATCATCATCATCATCATCATCATCATCATCATCATCATCGTCATCATCATCATCATCATCATCAGCATCATCAGCATCATCAGCATCATCAGCATCATCATCAGCATCATCAGCATCATCAGCATCATCACCATCGTCATCGTCATCGTCATCATCATCACCATAATCATCATCGTCATCATCATCGTCATCGCCCCCTTTCCCACACCCAGTACAGCGTTTCGTGGCCCCGCATGGAGCTCCATCGAAGGTCCCAGTATCGCAGCCCGCATGCGTCTACCACACCCAGTACAGCTTTTCGTGGTCCCAAAGGGAGCTCCATCGAAGGTCCCAGTGGCGCAGCCCGCATGCGTCTACCACACCCAGTACAGCGTTTCGTGGCCCCATAGGGGGCTTCACCGAAGGTTCCACTGGCACAGCCTGCATGGCCCCATAGGGAGCTCCACCGAGGGTCCCAGTGGCGCAGTCCGCATGTGTCTCCCCCGCCTGGCCCTATGAGAGGGGGTTCCACCGAAGACGATACCTACAGCTGCGGTGCTCACAATTGCATATGGTTGGGTCCTTCGCCAGGTTTTTTTGTCTCTCTCTTTTTTTTTCCTCTCTCTCTCTCTCTCTTTCTCTCTCGCTCTCCATATCTCTTTCCGTCTCCGTCAACCTCATACCATGCAGAGCGAAACGCAAAATTGCAACCTTGCAATGAAGGGTTGCAGGGCCGACCCCGCAACTTTACAATGAAGGAGACTGCAGGGCTTTCAAGCTTCGCATCAGAGTTTCTTTATTCGGGCCGTTTGGCTATTGGAACACTCGGCTAAGTGCCAACTTACAGGCTAGCGTCAAGCCGCTTATGAGCTCAGCTTGAAGCATAAATGTCCAGCCTCGAGGTTCGACAACTTCTCAAGATCGAGTCCGCACCAATCTTACGCTTCAGGCCTAAAGCCAAGGTTGGAGGACAGCCAGGGGCTTCTGAGAACTTCCGGTTCCAGAAGCACTCAGCACCCTTATGCAGCACCGCCCCCGAGATCTTTGCTGCAGGACGAGAACATGATCCTGCACCACCCAAGCATACTCATACAATGTGTGCGTCGCCCCCCAGGAGCGACGCGTGCGCGCGCGCTCACAAACATCATAGTACACCTATCATGGTAGCGGGCGCCTTCTGGCTATACCGGCTTTGGTACATCTTCGGGGGACGATCCACGACAATACGCGTGTGCCGCGTGTTCGGCTTGGATTTGCGTTTCCACGGGGGGCGCGTCGCACCGAGGAGATGCGCGTGCGCACCGAGCAAAGCTGTGCGCCCTCCCCAGTGCACGTGTGGGGGGGACGGCCTGCGATGCGCCGTTCGTGCTCCATGCTCTGCTCGGACGTGCGCCTCCGTGGGGGGGGCGCACACAGCCCAACGCGCTGGGAACAAAGGACCGCTGTGGGGTCGGCCGGGGCTCGATGCTCCTGAGGCCATGCCGTGCCTGTTCCTCTGGTCCTCCTCGTGTGCCCAGGCCCTCTTTGGGTGCCCCAGGAGGAGGAGGAGGAGCAGGAGGAGGAGGAGGAAGAGGAGGAGGAGGAGGAGGAGGAGGAGGAGGAGGCGGAGGAGGAGGAGGGAGGAGGAGAGGAGGGAGGAGGAGGAGGAGGAGGAGGCGGCGGCGGCGGCGGCGGTGGCGGCGGCGGCGGAGGAGGAGGAGGAGGAGGAGGGAGGTTCGTTTGGCACTTAGCGTCTCTTGTCAGCTTGACTGTAGCAGCAGCGTGTCCCCCTGCGCACCAGGGATGCCTGCGGCGACGGCGGCCGCGGCGGCGGCGGCGGGGCCTCGGCCCGACCCGCGCAGGAGGCCTCGGGACGGGCCCCAGCGGCCTGCCGGGGCGCGGGTCACCTACTGCGACGGCTCCGTCGACGGGACCGCCGCCTCGTCCTCGCCTCCTCTCGGCGGCAACGTTTGGGTGGAACGGGTTCTTCTTCTTCTTCTTCTTCTTCTTCTCCTCCTTCTCCTCCTCCTCCTCCTCCTCCTCCTCTCTCGCGCGCGCTCGGCCACGCTCCGCCTCTCTCTCGCGCGCGCTCGCTCCCCATCCTCGGCGGCTGCTGCCTCTCTCAGCCCAAGCCCTCCTGGGCAGCAAACCTCGCCACCCCCTGAGCAGGGGCAGCGCCAGGGTGGAATGGGCTCGAGGGCTTCGGACAATTGCGCGCTGGTTCCCGGTGGTTTGCCAGCCTCGCACTGCTCTCCAGCGGCTGCGCCTCGGCGAGAGCGCTCTGGGGAGTTCCAGAGGCGTCCCGAGCGGCGGCCAGAGGCCCGGGTTATGACCCGAAAGCCAGAGGTCGAGGAGCTACTCCAGATTTCGTAATAAAAGGGAGGGGTCTGGACCCTCCAAGACAAGCCATTTCAGACCTCCCCCGTGGGAGAACCCTCCAAACATCGTCCCCAGACCCCCCAGGCCCTTCAAGATAGCCTGGAAGAGACCCTCCCGAAATGAGACCCCCCTCCCTTTGTTACGAAATCTGGAGTACACATTGTTCAGTTATACTTCTTCGAAAGTTCTTTGATCTTGTTTTGGGGCCAAGATCATTTCATTTCCAATTGTTCTATCCTGGGCCTCTTCCTTGCCGCTATAGGGGGCCAGGAACAATTACAAACGAGCACAATTAGAAGTGAGCGCGATTAGACGTGAAAGACGTGTAGGTCGGAGTCGAAGATCAGGGGCATCAACGCCCGATCGCCCATCGATCGCTGCTGGGGGCTGAGGGGCCTGATAGCCTACCCTGCCTAGAACCGTTCGGGTTCGTTAGTTATCGGAGGCCAATCGCCGATCTATCGACGATGTCTAGCCGATTTCGGGTTATTGTTTCCCCCCTGAGCTGGTCCCGGCGTACTCACCTCCTCCCTAAATTCGGATGCAAATCTTGGGTTTGTATATCCGTGGTCGAAAGCTGGCCCAATCCGGCATAATCCCGCTTAGTTCTGTTCAATTCCGCTGAGTCCAGTTTAATCCGGTTTCAGTCATCCTGGATGTAGTCTTGTTCAATTTGGGTCAGTGGCAAATCGATCGGTTTTATTAGCTCAGAGTCTTTCTTGCAAAGACCTCATCAGATGCTCCCTAATCCAAGCGTCCAGCGTCTTGAGGAGATCAGAACTGCTTTTGTTCGCCAATTCCTGTCTCTGGTGGCCCTCGCCGGGACCCATGGACGTCAGCAAACGACTCGGGATAAGGAGTGGGCTCGTGGGACAGGGTCGGGCTCCGTGTTGAAAAAGACGTCAGGTCCACGGGTCTTCAGTCGACTCGGACGAGAGGGGGGCCTTCTCCAGGGTTCTCTTCTGACCACCCTGGAGTTGGGAAAGGGGGGTCTTCGGAAACCTGCTGCATGGCAGCTGGTTGCAGCTCCGCCACCAGGTCCCCTTCCTCGATGCATGGCCGCCTCCGGCGCCGGGAGGCGACGTGGGAACCAGCCGCGTGCAGTTGATTCTTTAAGCCTATCCCCCCCTGCGCCCCGATCATCCCTCCTCCTCCTCCTCCTCCTCCTCCTCCTCCTCCTTCGTCGACGTCGCTGTCGTCGTCGTCGTCGTCGTTGTCGACGCCGTCGTCGTCGTCGTCGTCGTCGTCGTCGTCGTCGTCGTCGTCGTCGTCGTCGTCGTCGTCGTCGTCGTCGTCTTGTTTTTCCATTCTACTCCTCGTCGTCTTTCTCCTCCTCCTCCTCCTCCTCCTCCTCCTCCTCCTCTTCGTCCCTCCTTCTTCATTCTACTCCCTCCTCCTCCTCCTCCTCCTCCTCCTCCTCCTCATCCTCCACCTCCTCCTCCTCCGCCTCGTCCCTCCTCCACCGTCCTCCTTATGCACAAGTCAGGGTTGGACGCTAACCCAAGTTCAGATTCATTCTCCCTCCTCCACCCTCCATCCATCATCTCGCGATCGTGAGAGTCACCTCGATCCCGACTGGGACAGGGTCGAGGGGCTATCTCAGCATGCCCCCCCTTGGCGGGGATGGGCCCTGCGAGTCCCGAAGGAAGCGGCACCCATCCCCACTCGGGAGGAGCAGATCGACCGGCGCGGCCAGGGTTGCCCCGGTGGGGGTGGGCATGGCTGTACCGTCAAGGCGTTGACATAAACACCACTTTGGGGCCAGGAGGGGCTCCGGTTTCGGGCCGTTTCTTCCGCTCTGGGTCGAACGGCCTCTTCGCGGCCGAAGCTCGCATTGGCCAGACGGCCCCTTAGCGCCTCATCTGGCATTCCTCATGGCAGCGCGATGATTGTACTTGTCTAGACCATCGTCCTCCTTCTTGTCTTTCTCCTGCCACCGTCTTCTTCTTCTTCTAACTCCTCTTCTTCTTCTCCTCCTCCTCCTCCTCCTCCTCCTCCTCCTCCTCCTCCTCCTCTCGCGCGCGCTCGCCCTCCATCCTCGGCGGCTGCTGTCCATCTCAGCCCAGGCCCTCCTGGGCAGCAGACCTCGACACCCCCCTGAGCAGGGGCAACGTTAGGGCGGAATGGGCTCGAGGGTTTCGGACAGCCCCGGCGTGCTTCCCAGCGGCTGCGCCTCGCCGGAGTTCCGCAATCGCCCCGAACGGCCGCCGGAGGCCCGAGATAGGACCCGAAAGCCAGGGAGCGAGGTCGGAGTCGAAGTTCAGGGGCATCGTCGTTCGGGGGGGATATGGGGCTCAGGGGGGTAGCTTGGTAGCTCACCCCGCCCGGGACCGTTTGGCTTCGCCATCTGGGGCCTATCGTCCCCCAGCTCGGGTATGGCCAGGGCCCCGGGTACAGGGGACCCGGGTGGTGGTAGGGCCCTGGGGCCCCTCCATGGGCCAGATTCACCAGAACCAGGTTTGCCGTAATTGGTGGTTTTCGGGTGACGGCAGTTCTGGTTAGTGGAAATGGGACGGTGGGGCGCCCCGGGTGCAAATCACTAAAACAAGGTTCCATTAAACCCAGTTTTGCCAACGCCCGACCAGTGACGCCCCCCCTCAGAAGGTCAGCATCCGGTCGCCGTAGTCGAGACGCCGACACCACGGCCATTCTGGGCTCGGGAGGTGCCCTGGCTCCGGGCCGCTCCTTGGCCGCGAGGGGATTTTCGACGAAGAGAAAATTAGCCTGACGAGGGACCCAACCATATGCAGGTGCGAGTACCGCAATAGTGATTCATTTTTTCGGTGGCGATCCCTATGAGGCAACGAACCGTGCTAGGGGTGTGCCGACATGAGTGGCGTGGTACACAACGCGAACGAAAACGATTGATCTGAGTACGTAGGGACACTGAGCGCGGGTGAATCTGCGCGCGTGCGTCTGACTGTGGATGAATCTGCGTGCGAGCGAGTCTGCGTGCATGAATGCGAATATGACAAAGCGTGGTGCAATTGTGTATGAATTTCAATAGTTTGACAATGACTGCCTCTGAGTACTCGTGACGCTGGGCGTGGCCGCCGCAAGGAGCTTCCCCGGGACTCCCCGACAGCATCGCCCGCGCGCCGCGACGCCAATGTCGGCGCGCCCCCCCGCGAGGATCGCGCCCGCCTCCTCCCTTTCCTTTACTCCCTCTTTGCCCGCGCACTCAAAAGTCCAAGGCTGCGGGCGCAGCGCAGCGCGGAGTCCCCGCGACGCGCGCAGGTCGCCCCGGAGGGGTCCCAGCGACGCGCGCGGGTCGTCCACTGCGCGGAGCAACGAGAGCTAGCTGGCTGGCTGATAGCGGGCAAGGCTTTTGCCGCTGGGCAGAGCGACGACGGGCGAGCGAGGCGCTGGGCAGAACGCAGCACGGAGCCCCCGCGACGCGCGCAGGTCGCCCCGGAGGGGTCCCAGCGACGCGCGCGGGTCGCCCGCTGCGCGGAGCAAAGAGAGCTAGCTGGCTGGCTGGGACCTGCGGTGGGGCTCCATATGGGGCCACGTAACGCTGTACTGGGCAAGGGAGACGCATGCGGACTGCGCCACGGGGACCTTCGGTGGAGTTCCCTATGGGGCCACGAAACGTGTGAGGGGTGTGCCGAAATGAATGGCGGGGACGCGTGCGGACTGTGCCACTGGGACCTTCGGCGGAGCTCCTATGGGGCCACGAAACGTGTGAGGGGTGTGCCGAAATTAATGGCGGGGACGCATGCGGACTGCGCCACGGGGACCGTCGGTGGAGTTCCTATGGGGCCACGAAACGTGTGAGGGGTGTGCCGAAATGAGTGGCGGGAACGCATGCGGACTGTGCCACTGGGACCTTCGGCGGAGCTCCTGTGGGGCCACGAAACGTGTGAGGGGTGTGCCGACATGAATGGCGGGAACGCATGCGGACTGTGCCACGGGACCTTCGGCGGAGCTCCTATGGGGCCACGAAACGTGTGAGGGGTGTGCTGAAATGAATGGCGGGGACGCATGCGGACTGTGCCACCGGGACCTTCGGCGGAGCTCCTATGGGGCCACGAAACGTGTGAGGGGTGGGCCGACGTGAATGGCGGAGACGCATGCGGACTGTGCCACCGGGACCATCGGCGGAGCTCCTATGGGGCCACGAAGCGTGTGAGGGGTGTGCCGAAATGAGCGGCGGGGACGCATGCGGACTGTGCCAATGGGACCTTCGGCGGAGCTCCTGTGGGGCCACGAAACGTGTGAGGGGTGTGCCGACATGAGTTGCGGGGACGCATGCGGACTGTGCCAATGGGACCTTCGGCGGAACCCCTATGGGGCCACGAAGCGTGTGAGGGGTGGGCCGACATGAATGGCGGGGGCGCGTGCGGACTGTGCCACTGGGACCTTCGGCGGAGCTTCTATGGGGCCACGAAGCGTGTGAATGGTGTCCCGAAATTACACACCCAGTGGGACCTTCGGTGGAGCTCCTTATGGGGCCACGAAGCGTGTGAGGGGTGGGCCGAAATGGGTGTGCGGGACGCATGCGGGCACACCCACTGAGACTTCGGTGGGGCTCCCTATGGGGCCACGAAGCGTGTGAGGGGTG